GGTACAGTAATTACTCTCTCCGAGCTCGAGTTATATAAACGGAGTAATTTGGAGAATTTCCAGAACGGCTACAGTTTGCAACTTTGAATACAATGTTGCGACTGTGACGGTGGGAACAAATTGAAGCAATTTGGCTTTGACACTTGGAAAGGCCAAAGCTCAAGGCTGTTCGGGTGCAATTGTTTTACTCACGAAGTCCAATCGCTTACATTGTAGCGATGGAGAAATAATGAAACGCGAGGAGTAATTTGAGGTTTTGGTGCGAGGCGAGGCGGCCCAGCAACGGACGCCTCAAATCGCCCGATGTTTCAGAGTTATTGTAAATGGTACTTTTTCACAAACAGAGTAGGTCCCGAAAGAGAATCTCGGCAACCCCGCCTACATTTCACAGGAACTTGCGTTGAAAGTTGCCCAAAGAAGTTTTCCGTCTTTTTGTAGAGAGGGGAGGCGGCGCCACTCACCAAACACATTTTTCAAAATTGTTGTACAGGGTGTCCTATTAATTCCTTCACTAACTTAAACCGAACTCCCCACCCCTCATATTTAACGAGCTAGAGGAACAGTTGCTGCATGAAACAAGATTGGATTGGGATGTATGTATTTTTATGCACATTTTAGGAAAAAAATCATTTTCTGCTTAACCCCTAGCGGCAAACCTGGAAACTTGAAAACAATTTCCAGCGATTTCTCTTTGTCGCTTTTGTTAACAAAATCTTTTTCTCCAAGTCGAGCTCCAAACTGTGCAATTAACGGTTTCATAGATATGATCTGCGACATTTATTAATAGGACACCCTGTACATACATTTCAAAGATTTTGTCAAAAATCCTCTAAACATTTCCAACACCTTCGACATATCAAAATTACGAATTTCCGAGACATTTTCAACCTTACATGCCCAATAATTTCTTAGACATTTTGAGCGGAGGGGGGGGGGGGTTATAAATTAATTTTCTCTCTCATTGTATTCTAATTAAAGGTCTCAACGAAAGAAACCGTTTTCTACCAACTACTGCCCTTCTATCTGTCCTCTTATCAAAGTACGGGTTAGAGGGGGGGGGGGGGGGGGAACAAGTTTTATCCTTCATGATACTCTAATGAAAGGTCTCAACGAAAGGAATTAATTTCTACCAACCATAGCCCTCCTCTCAGATTTTCAATGAAAAGTCCCAGAATGTCCTACACACATACTTCCAAAATTTCTTCCAGGTTTTCCAGATTTCCTGCAGTTTTTCGACATTTCCTGTACATATTCAAAATTTCCAAAATTGCCTACGCCCTACATACATTACGTCCTGCGAACTATCAAAATTCCCTAAATTTCCTGCGAATTGTCAAAATATTTAAATTTCCGTGCACATTTAAGATTTCCAAAATATCCTACACATACTTCCAAAATTTCTTGCGAATTTTCACTTTTCTGACCATTTTCAAAATGCCCAGCGAATTTTGAAATTTTCCTGAAGATTTTTAAAATTCCCAAAATTTTCTGAGAATTTTCAAAATGCGCTGCACATTATCAAAGTTCCCAAAAAGTCAAATTTCCTGTACATTTTCAAGATTTTCATAGTACACTTACATACAAAATTCCCTACGAATATGCAAAATTTCCTGCGAAATATCAAAATTCCTTGCGAATTTTCAAAATTTCCTGAATATTTTCAAACTTCCCAAAATTTTCTGAGAATTTTAAAAATTTGCTGCGCATATTCAAAGTTCCCAAAAGTCAAATTTCCTGTACCTTTTCAAGAGTTCCAAAGTGTCCTACACTTACATACAAAATTTCCTGCGAATATGCAAAGTTTCCTGAACATTGTCAAAATTCCCAAAATTTCCTGCACGTGTCAAGATTTCCAAAAAGTCATATACATACTTCTAAAATTTCCTACGAATTTCCAAAATTTCCTAAACATTTTCAAAATTCTCAAAATTTCTTGCGAATTTTCAAAATTTCCTGAAGTATTTCAAAATTCCCAAAATTTCCTGCGAATGTTCAAAATTTCCTGAACGTTTTGGAAGTCCCCAAAATTTCCCGTGATTTTTCAAAATGCCCTACATTTTCTAAATTCCCGAAATATTTCCAAAACAAAATTTCTTGCGCATTTTTCACTTTTCCCAAAAATTTCCAAAATTACTTATCCCTTGTCAACATTTCCATCACAACGCATACTTCTCAAGCAGTGCCAACGTTTCCAAAACTTTCTGCACATTTCAGACTTCTTACACATTTCCAAAACTTGCACCGCAACTCGGAAATTGAAATTACCGAATTTCTCGTATACTTCGGCCATTTTCAAAATTTCCTGGAAGTTTCCTACACATTTTCAAAATATCCTATGTATACAGTATGTCGCAAGATCAAGTTTGTGAACTATACCCAAAACGATCATTTTTAGGGGAATTTTTCGAAAGAAAAAAGTTCTCCTGATGTGATGGTTTTGTCCGTCCGTCCGTCTGTTCCTTGTCTAACTCGAGAACGAAAAGAGACGGCGATCTTAGACTTCGCCAATCGATTTCTACGAGTTCAAAGTTCACTGCTATTGAATATGAGCCGGATCAAAAGTCTGGTTTCTGAATCTGAGCTGAGTGGCAAAGAATGCGATTCTTCGTATAAAATCAACAACTCCCACTGTACATTGCGTGTTAAAGAAACGAGTATATTTTATTATTAGCCATAACCTTGCGCAAATATACAATTATGATCGGTATACGATGACGTAACGAATCACAAGTCGCTTAGCAATTTCGTAAATTGCGCTGTTAATTTTTTTCCACTTTCCATTAATTAATATCGGTACGTAACAATCCGCTGTATTTACCTACAGCGTTTTAGACGGGCTATCGCTATCGCTTTATATGCAAGAACCAAGGACGCGAAATTCCAATGTACCTACGTTTTTTGTGCGGAAACTTCGCGTTATCAACCGATTACAAAATTATGATAATGGTGGTTGCGAAGCGTGAAAGTAATTATTTTTTCACGGTCAGCGTGACAATGTCAATGGCGCCAAAGTTCATTACCGGCTTTACAAATTCTTCTACGATCACAGTCATTCATAGTCGGAGGAGCGTTGTGTAAACCGAAAGGCATCCCCTTAAACACATAGTCTTCATGCGATGTTGCCGTTCAATACCCTTGATTAGTAACTCCAATTGACAAGAAATGTGACTTTCAGCGTATGTGCACACTGTAATATAAACATTTCAAATTGATTGCTCCCCAAATAGCAAAGATGATTCTGCGCATGCGCCCGGTTGCGCTGTTTTTATCAGGTGGAATTTCTGTGGAGTTTTCTTAAAAATTCGTAATTTTAAAACAGTGGAGGGGGGGGAATCACAGCAAATGCAATAGATGACTGCCATGTAAGAGCGAGTTTTATGAAAAACCCATAATTTTATTGGTTCTATGGGTTGCTTTGTGGGTCAAGTGTAAACATAATCAACTGATGAAACAAAAAAATTATTGTTTGACAAAATCTCAGCCATCACAATAGACGAGTGTTACGTAAGACCGAGTTTTATCAAAATCCCATAATTTTGCGGGTTTTATGGGTTACTTTGTGGGTCCTGTAAATATAAACAATCAATGAAACAAAAAATTTACTGTTTGCCAAAAAAAATCCCAACCATTACAATAGATCAGTGTCACGTAAGAGCGAGTTTTACTAAAAATCTCATAATTTTACGGGTTCTATGGGTTGGTTTGTGGGTCAAGTGTAAACATAATCCACCGGTGAAACAAAAAAATTATTATTTGACAAAATCTCAGCAATCACAATACACGAGTGTTACGTAAGACCGAGTTTAATTCAAAATCCCATAATTTTACGGGTTTCATGGGTTGGTTCTGTGAACATAATCAACCGCCTCGTCAACCGCAGTGAAACAAAAAAGTGAGCTGTTTGATAAAAAATCGGAGTCATCGCAATAGTGAGTGTCACGTAAGACCAACTTTTATTAAAAATCCCATAATTTTACGGGTTCTATGGGTTGGTTTGTGGGTCCTGTAAACATGAAAACTTACAATTCTAATTTAAGTCGAATTGATTATTCAAGATTGTCTTTCAGTTAAAAATATTTTCAAGGTCATACAACTTCTGGTCACACACGAACAGGTCAATATAGCTTTCTTTATTTCAAAATGGAACACCCACCCAAGTTAATGTTGCCCCATTTTTGGATTCCTGACCAAATTTCATGTTTCCCTACTTACTGATAGTGTCAATTGTTTCTTAGATATCTTTAAAACCATTTTTAGAACATAAACAAAAAACTCTCGATCGATCAATCTTTTAAAGCACTACCCAAGTGACATTAATGAGGCATTTCGTTAGTGATACTTCGTGCCAACGCAAAACAGATGCATTTATTGCTACAAAGAAACGACACTAAAGGCCATGTATCACTAAAGGAGGCGTCACGAGTGAAATTATTGAAGTGCGCTTAATAGGCACCACAGAATAAAGTGGAAAAGACTTCCGTTGGGGTTTTCTTAGTCCAATTCTACAGTAATTTCCAGCTGTGCGTGGGCAAATTCGTTGAATAGATCAATGACATAATTGTCCCTTGTGTAAAATTTTCCATTCACGTTCATGCAAATTCGGTCACCAAGGCGACAAGAATACGGCCCTGTTGCCGCTGACGCACGCGATCCGAGAATTTTGAATATCGAAAAACAACTTTCCAGTTTTCCACGAACAATATTGGGCGATAGTGGAGAACCGCAAGAGTCGGGGGGGAATCTTTATTTTCCCAATTAGCATGACGCACTCTCGATGGAGGAAGCGCATTATGTAATAAGAAGATGCTAAAAATAGTTGGCCAGATTTGGGTCAGCGCGCACTTTATGGGTCAACCTTGGCATTCATCTCGCACCCCTAGCGAAATCGCACAAACGTCCTTGAGATTATGGCGGGTAGGTTTCCAAAAATGTGGTTTACGTCTAATCTCGTCGTAATAAATATATCCGGTCGGAAGTGGAAAAGGATCGATAACTCTTACCTTCATGTTATTCTCCACGATGTAATTAATCGAGCATAATTGGTAGACGGTGTACGCCCGCACCAGTTCCCACATCGTCTTGCTCTTGAACGCGGCGGTCGCATCTTCGAAGCTCGAGTCTAGGGGGTCACGAGGGGGTGCTGCGGCCGCGGTGGTTGTCGCCGTTTGCTCATCAACAATCGCTCCGGTCGCGGTCGACTTGAAAACCGTACAACACCGGACTAGCTTACCGTTACGATGGTCGCCGAAAATGATCCCTCTTTTATTAGACACGTTACACCTTAGGAATGCGCGCAAAAAAGCCATTTAATTGTTAGGAGCTTGAATAACTCGGCACGTGCACTTGCAAAGTTCTTCACGGCAGCACTGACACGACGGAACTGAATTTGGCATTTCGGTTCAATTTAAAAGGTTTGTTCACATGTCACGCCGGCAAGCGGGCGCGCGCGCACCTGCGACGCCCCTGCACGCAATCAATTACGATTTACGATGTTTGCCATCGTCATCAGTGGTGCCGTGCTGTTTCATTAATAAAATTTGACAGATAAGCATCACGATAATCCTCGAAATCGATTTAATTGTGAACGTCCCCTCTTATTGTCCGCCGCTGTGCATCGCGCAACTTATCGCCGGTAGGTGACGCTACGCGAGAACGTTAATTTTTCGGAGTATCTCACGTGGGATGAATTAAATGCGAAAAACACTGTAAAAAAAACACCCTGTAGATTCTTACTACCAATGACATGATCAATGTTGTTAGCCCTTCTGTTGTATTCTATTCACAGGGTGCCCAAACGGACAGAACTTAGGCACACCAAGGGCCCCTTTCTTTCACCCGCTCCTCTTACTAAAGGATAGGACCCTGTTTAACCTCCCCGGTTCTAGATAGCTGTCTCCAAGGAGTTGACGTCTGCCGCCTGACTGTTACTGCATAGGTTTAAGGAACAGACAATCCGAGTTCAGCCACTGCTCCCTGTCCGGGAGAATGACTATAACTCTTTGGTCTTAGGAAGACAGCCCGGATCACATCCCTTCTTGCGAGGAGGGAAAATTTTGAATATGTTCAGGAAATGTCGAAACGCTGTAGGACATTTTGGAAATTTTGAAGATGTGCAGGTAATTTTGAAAATTCACAAAAAAGGTTGTGAATTTTGACAGTGTTCAGGAAATTTCGAAAATTCGCAGGAAATTTTGAAAGAATGTATGAATGGCAATATTAAAAGGTGCAGGAAATTTTTTAAATTCGCACATGTGACATTTTGGAAATTTGCAGGAAATTTTAATAAACATTTTAAAAATTCGCACTAAATTTTGGAAGTACAAATGTGTGAGATATTTTGGGAATTTTGAAAATTCGCAAAAAAAGTTGGGAATTTTGACAATTCGTAGGAAATTCAGGGCGTAATGTGTGAAGGCAATTTTAATAATTTTGATTATGTTCAGGAAATGTCGAAAAGCTGTAGGAAATTTGGAAGTATGTATGTAGAACATTTTGGGAATTTTGAAAATCTGCAGAAAATTTTGAAAGTCTGTAGGAAATTTTGGAAGTATGCATGCAGGACATTTTAGGAATTTTAAAACTGTCCAGGAAGGTTTGGACGTATGTGTGTAGGAAATTTCGAAAATTTTGAAAACGTGCAGGAAATTTTGACAATTTGCTTGAAATTTTGGAAGTACATGTGGGTGACACATTCTGGGAATTTTGACAATGAGCAGGAAATTTTGAAAATGTGTAGGAAATTTTGGGAGTATGCACGCAGGCCGAATATTTTAGGAATTTTAAAAATGTTTAGGAAGGTTTGGACGTATGTGTGTAGGCAATTTTGGAAATTTTGAAAATGTGTAGCAAATGTGAAAATTTGCGAGAAATTTTGAAAATTTGCTGGAAATTTTGGTAAATGTGTGTGAGACATTTTGGGAATTTTGGAAATTTACAGGTAATTTTGAAAATGTTCATGAAATTTTGGGAATGTTGACAATGTTCAGGAAATTTTGATAATTCGCAGGAATTTCTGGACGTAATGTGTGTACCTAGGCAATTTTGGAAATTTCAAACATGGGCAGGAAGGATTGGATGTATGTGTGTACGACATTTTGGAAATTTTTAAAATGTGGAAGAAATTTTGGAAGTATATGTGTGTAAGACATTTTGGGAATTTTAAAAATGTTCAGGTAATTTCGAAAATTCGCAAAAAAAGTTGGGAATTGTGACAATGTTCAGGAAATTTCGAAAATTCGCAGGAAATTTTGGAAGTACATGTGTGTGAGACATTATGGATTTTGAAAATGTGCAGGTAATTTGGAAAATTCGTAAAAGAGGTTGGAAATTTCCAAAATTCGAAGGAAATCTTGGAAGTACATGTGTGTGAGACATTTTGGGAATTTTGAAAATGGGCAGGTAATTTTGAAAATTCGCAAAAAAGGTTGGGAATTGTGACAATGTTCAGGAAATTTCCAAAATTCGAAGGAAATTTTGGAAGTACATGTGTGTGAGACATTTTGGGAATTTTGAAAATGTGCAGGTAATTTTAAAAATTCGCAAAAAAAGTTGGGAATTGTGACAATGTTCAGGAAATTTCGAAAATTCGCAGGAAATTTTGGAAGTACATGTGTGTGAGACATTTTGGAAATTTTGAAAATGGGCAGGTAATTTTTAAAATTCGCGCAAAAGGTTGGGAATTGTGACAATGTTCAGGAAATTTCCAAAATTCGCAGGAAATTTTGGAAGTACATATGTGTGAGACACTTTGGGAATTTTTAAAATGGGCAGATAACTTTGAAAATTCGCAAAAGAGGTTGGAAATTGTGACAATGTTTAGGAAATTTCCAAAATTCGCAGGAAATTTTGGAAGTACATATGTGTGAAACATTTTGGGAATTTTGAAAACGGGCAGAGGTCATTTTGAAAATTCGCAAAAGAGGTTGGAAATTGTGACAATGTTTAGGAAATTTCCAAACTTCGCAGGAAATTTTGGAAGTACATTGTGTGTGAGACATTTTGGGAATTTTGAAAATGGGCAGGTAATTTTGAAAATTCGCAAAAGAGGTTGGGAATTGTGACAATGTTCAGGAAATTTCCAAAATTCGCAGGAAATTTTGGAAGTACATATGTGTGAAACATTTTGGGAATTTTGAAAATGGGCAGAGGTAATTTTGAAAATTCGCAAAAGAGGTTGGGAATTGTGACAATGTTCAGGAAATTTCTAAAATTCGCAGGAAATTTTGGAAGTACATACAGGGTGATTCCTATAGTACCTGCCACCGTTTGGGAGCGTGTAGGTGGTGCGTAGGGGAGTATTTTGATATAGGACACTTGTGGTCGGAAATCTAAAATAAGGGTGCCAGAGCCAAATTTACCTTCTGGAATTTCGCGCCTGTAGGTAGGCAACCCAACCACGGAGCGATCTCAGGCGGCGATGTGTGCTGACACTTTCAGAATTTTGAAAACCCAGAAAGCGCAAAAGAAATAAACAATGCAGGATTTCTAAAATTCGCTTAAGGGTGCGACCTGCCACCGTTTGGGAGCGGTAGGTGGTGCGTAGGGGAGTATTTTGATATAGGACACTTGTGGTCGGAAATCTAAAATAAGGGTGCCAGAGCCAAATTTACCTTCTGGAATTTCGCGCCTGTAGGTAGGCAACCCAACCGGCCGGCGGTGCACACGGAGCGATCTCAGGCGGCGATGTGTGGCTGACACTTGATCAGAATTTTGTTTAAACCCACGAAATCCCGTCTCCCGAATCTATGCAACGACGCGTATCAAGTGAATACGCTGAACAAACTACCCTGCAGACAGGTTTTCAGTGGACAGGATTGGCACTGGGACCACTGGTTCCAGCACGACGCTACGGGCGGCAGGTGAGGAACACTTGGACCAAACCTATCCGGACAGATGGATCGGCCGTGGAGGTGCGGTGGAGTGGCCTGCCCGCTCGCCCGACATCAACCCCATTAGATTTTTACTTGTGGGGTGTGATGGAAGCGCACGTCTACGAGACTCCCGTCGAATCCGAAGAGGACTTAATTGCGCGCGTCGTCATGGCCGGAGAGGCTGTTCGCCAGGACATAGGAGTCTTCACGCGAGGTCGAGGGGAGTGGTTGGCTAGATGTAGGAAGTGCATTGAGAACAACGGTGGCCCCGTTGAACACTTGTGAACGTTATTGCTTTTGAATGTCGTTTTCCCTCCTTCCCTCCCATGTCGCTTCCTCGCGCTAACTCGCTCTGCATCGCTCCGCGCGAAATGTCGGTCGGTTGGGTTGCCTACATACAGGCGTGAAATTCCAGAAGATAAATTTGGTTCTGGCGCCCTTATTTTGGATTTCCGACCCCAAGTGTCCTATATGAAAAGACTTCCCCTAGGCACCCCCTATACGCTCCCAAACGGTGGCAGGTACTATAGGAATCACCCTGTATGTGTGAAACATTTTGGGAATTTTGAAAATGGGCAGAGGTGATTTTGAAAATTCGCAAAAGAGGTTGGAAATTGTGACAATGTTCAGGAAATTTCGAAAATTCGCAGGAAATTTTGGAAGTACATGTGTGTGAGACATTTTGGGAATTTTGAAAATGGGCAGGTAATTTTGAAAATTCGCAAAAGAGGTTGGAAATTGTGACAATGTTCAGGAATTTTCCAAAATTCGCAGGAAATTTTGGAAGTACATATGTGTGAAACATTTTGGGAATTTTGAAAATGGGCAGAGGTAATTTTGAAAATTCGCAAAAGAGGTTGGAAATTGTGACAATGTTTAGGAAATTTTCAAAATTCGCAGGAAATTTTGGAAGTACATTGTGTGTGAGACATTTTGGGAATTTTGAAAATGGGCAGGTAATTTTGAAAATTCGCAAAAAAGGTTGGGAATTGTGACAATGTTCAGGAAATTTCCAAAATTCGAAGGAAATTTTGGAAGTACATGTGTGAGACATTTTGGGAATTTTGAAAATGGGCAGGTAATTTTGAAAATTCGCAAAAAAGGTTGGGAATTTTGACAATGTTCAGGAAATTTCCAAAATTCGAAGGAAATTTTGGAAGTACATGTGTGTGAGACATTTTGGGAATTTTGAAAATGTGCAGGGAGGTTTAGACGTATTTGTGTGAACAATTTTGGAAATTTTGGAAATCTGTAGGAAATTTTGCAAATGCTCAGGAAATTTTGATAATTCGCAGGAAATTCTGGACGTAATGTGTGTAGGCAATTTTGGAAATTTTGATTATGTTCAGGAAATGTCAAAAAGCTGCAGGAACTTTGGAAGTATGTATGTAGAACATTTTGGGAATTTTGAAAATGTGCAGGAAATTTTGATAGTCTGTAGAAAATTTCGGAAGTCTACATGCAGGACATTTTAGGAATTTTGAAAATGTCCAGGAAGGTTTTGACGTATGTGTGTAGGCGATTTTGGAAATTCTGAAGATGTGCAGAAAATTTTGAAAATTCGCTGAAAATTTTGAAAATTTGCTGGAATTTTTGAAAATTTACTGGAAATTTTGAAAATTTGCTGGTAGTTTTGGAAGTAAATGTGCGTGGGACATTTTGGGAATTTTAAAAATGTGCAGGTAATTTTGAAAATTCGCTGGAAATTTTTGGAAGTATATGTAGAACATTTTGGGAATTTTGAAAATGTGAAAGAAGTTTTGGTAGTATGTGTGTACGCAATTTTGGACATTTTGAAAATGGTCAGGACATTTTGAAGGTATGGATGCAGGACATTTTAGGAATTGAAAATGTGCAGGGAATTTTAAAAATTCTCTGGAAATTTTGGAAGTACATGTGTGTGAGATAGTTTGGGAATTTTGGAAATGTTCATGAAATTTTGGGAATTTTGACAATGTTCGGGAAATTTTGATAATTCGCAGGAAATTCTGGACGTAATGTGGGTAGGCTTGTGCCCGAGACTGCTCCGATCCTTCTACTCGTCCCAATCGTTTAGCCGTATGGAAGTCTCTGCCTCCATGGCCAAAGTTGGCGTGGATTTCATGGCTCCAGTGACTCCCAAACAGTTGGTCTCTGTACTTTGCCCTGCACATGGCAGGCTACCATACATGTGCACCATACAGTGTTATTAGTCATTAGTCCTATCACCAAGTCAATATACCAGTCGAGAAGACAAGCCCCATGTACAGCCAAAAGCCCTTCTACGTGCCCATAAAAATGCATGGTATTTTTGCTTATTCGCTCAATGTGCGCTTTCCAGGCCAGGTGGGAGTCTATAATGACTTCGAAATATTTCACTGACTGGTCAGATTCTTAATACAAAGTTCTCATAATTTCGTCGAAATGTGAGGTTACGTTACTCTATCTATATTTCATGATTACTTTTAAGTTGGTAAGAGTGTGGATAACATTCCAACTTCAATTTTTTAAGATTTTTGCACTGTAGAATTATTTCCCAAATCTGGTTCTTTCGCCATCCCTAAAAATTTGCGGCTATGGGCCCGGACCCACATTGCTCCATGCTAAATCCGGCTTTAGAAAAAAAAAGAAATTATAATGGAATGGGTGCGAATTAAAAAGAAAGAGTAGTAGGAATTTGGTTGTTGGAAGAGAATCGTGGGACAATTCGCGTCAAGAGCCGTTAGTGTTTGCGTCGAGCCGTCAATCAACCCATAACCACAGAGGACGTAGGTGAATACTTGTGTTAAAAAATTCCCGGGGAGCAGCGCGCCATCAAAGCGTTTTGGTGACTGTCAATGCAAGGAAGAAATTGCATGTGACCTTAGTCTCAGAACAGTACATGTAAAATCTTAGACGTAAATCTAAGTCAGGTGATTTCAATTCAAACGATAAGTGGCGAATAGGAAACTATTACGATAAAGTCGAACAGTAGTGGACATTTTGAACACGCGGAAATAAATGTGAATGGATTTTGAAATCAGGAGCACAAAATACTTCAATGTATTTTTAAGCCAGTAGAAGCTAGAAATGTAATCATCAATAATTGATTCTGCCAATCTAACTTATCGTTATCGTAACTGGTAGATAACCATCGATGTGATTACATTTGTTTCTGTGGAAATTAACTGTCTTTTAAACGTGTCTATTACGTACTCAGTAAGATTTGATTTTTGGGTTTAAATACAGTCCGTCCCTTTATTTATTTTATACAGATGCCGCAAGCAAAAAAAACGCACAAAATGCGCTACTCAATAAGCGCACAACGAATTTCTCTCTCGCTCTGTCGCTGTTAGAAAATCAATACCTACAGTCTCGCTATTAGTTAGTCCAACATAGTTAGAATGGACGAGAACAGTTACGAATATCAGTGTATGAGAGCTGAACTTCTCGGCGTCGAAAGGCCAAGTCTTGACGACTTCCTCAGCAACCAGAAGAAGCGCCAGGAGGCGGAGCACGTCGAACAGGAGGAGGTCGACGTCGAAAATCTGAAGGTGAGCCGCCGATTGATTTTATAATTTGAGTGCTCGCCTTTTACCATCAGGATGTCGAAAGAGAGGGCGAGGACTTTCGGAATATGTCCGGCGGCCTACACGAATTGGGCAACATTTTATCGGCGACACAGAAAAAATTAAACCGGTTCAAGGTAGCTCGCGCCACTTGACGAGCTCCTAATTTCTATGTTTTTGTAGGCGTCGTGCGGGTCACTGACGAACCTGCTAAAGATACGTATCGGCACCGCGTCCGGCTCGAACGAGTCGATCATTTTAAACTCGAACTCGTCGAACGCGAATCAGGAGGTGACCGGTTTGGATAACACAAGCTTGGCGGACTCGCCGAAGAAGATCGCCGGCGACGATGAGGTGAGGAAGAGCGATTTGGCTGACGCTCTCGACAATCATGTGGACAAACTCGATTTGCTCATCGAAAACGCGGAGAATTGCCAGTACAGTATGTCCGAACAGAATAAACAGATGAAAAAGTTTCTGCGTTGAGGACGATCGATTTGTTTCCACGTTTTTGCTGTTTGTTTTATAAGCGGTTGATATTTTGTTGTTGACAACGAAGTGTGATGTGATTGGCTCAATCATTATTAAATGTTATATATTTCAGAGTGAATTTTAACGTAGGTGTTATATCTTGTATTTGTAGAGTGTCACAACACGTTTTATCAGCTTGGTGCTTCCAATCATTTGAATTGTTAGTATATTGGATTTTTGAGAAATATATCATAATCACGCAGTTCCACTTTTTTCTAGTATCAATTTAGGTTCCCACTTCTGAGGAGTACAATTTTTAGGTAGGTAGATAAGTATTTCCACTTGAGATAGTCTGGCGATAGTAGGCACGCAATTGCTTCAAGTACCTGCACACTTGACAATGGGATATTCAACTTGTAGATTAGCGTTCGTTTAGATCCATCTAAGAAACAGATTGGGTGAATGTCACGACACCTAATTACGTGATTGTGTTTGACTTTCAATTGTAGGTTCGAAACCCCGAACGAGGGGCGAGTTACCTATCTTGCGGGGGCGAGATTATGTTAATCAAAACTCTTCGGTTAAGAATCTATGCGCGATAAATGAGTTGCGATGCGCTAATTTCCACATATCTGAGATGCCTCAACCTTAGCAACGTCCTGTGAATATGATGGTCGATACGAAGCACCCTATACATCATGTTAGTTACACAAGCTGCCAACCGAAATCTAGTGGGATTACAGAGAAGGGAAAGAGAGCGAAGATGAGACACATGTGTTTACCATTTCAAACACCTGCAGTGCAGTTTTTTCCTAGAAATGCGTGAAATGCAGGGAATGGGCGATTTTCGGGTGGTTTTTAGGGGTATTAGATCAAATTACAGCGTGGCTTGGGGTAGTCAATAAATACGATTTAACATGTGTGTTCGTGGTCTTTTTCTTGTAACCGGCTTAAGTGTAAAGTATCTTGAAATATTTTGTTATACCTTAATCATTGCTGTGTGCTTTTGCTTTTTATATCAGGTGAGGTATTTGCTTTATTCAATTAATCTATAAATGTGTGTAACTTGAATGCAGATTGTAACGCTTTACTTATGTACTTACTGGATTCAATCACTTGTACCTCTTAATGTGTGACCTTTGTTGGTATTGGCAATCATGTTTCATTGTCGGTAGGGCTGCATCTGTATTGTACATATTTGCATGTGTCCCTCGATTATTGCATTGCATTTTATTGTAATTGTTTATTTGGACCTGTGAGTAATCAGGAGGGAAGGGTACTTGTTTAGAGGGGATCGAGTTATTCAAGTTTATACAGCCTTGGTGAACCTAACACTAACATTTTCACTCGTTCCGAAACCCAACAACTTTAGCCACTGGGCCTAGGTAATCCTACCGTCCGGCGAGGCATATTTAATATCTCTTAGTTTTGTTTGATGTATGTGTTGTAATACCTGGGTAATGGCTCGATTCCATTTTGGTTACTCATAGTGTGTCTGTAGTATTTGCCCCGGTTTCGAGAGGGCTCAGAAGTGCTGTACATTAGATGTTAGGCTGTAGGCTTTGTCCATTATAGGACTACTCCGAATTAGGTTTTCCTGCAGTTTTCCTAATTCGTAAGGTAAATGCCGGAGTAGTATAGAACCCCTTAAGACCCTCTGCAGGGGCGCCGTGTTGGTATTTGTATTAGTTTCAATATAATCTTAATCAGCTATTGCTTTTGTTGTTCCTTACCCATAAAACGCCCCAGTGCCTTCTGAGAACCCAGAGTGATAAAAAATTGATAAAACTCACTTTTTTCTTAAAATTTTAATACCCTGTAGCTCAAAAACTGAGAGGTTTAGGACATATATTGATATCAACTTTTCTCCTTAGGTCCTCGATAGCCATTCACTTACTTAACACCCTGTATAGGTAGCAAGAACAATGTATTTTAACTGTGTGTATTCTATGTCTGTTTCTATAATTAATTTTATATATTTATATAAAAAAAATTGATACTTAAAAAAATTATTTATTTATTTATATTGGAACCCTTAAAAACCGAAAAAAAAACTGGAACCGAAACTGACTGAAGTCACAGAACCGGAACCTTTAAACAATTATTCTACCTAAATAGTGCGGAACCAGAACCTATATCATATGGGTTCCCACCACAAAGTTGTATATTTACTTATATACAACTCTGTGGTTCCACCCCTAATGCTAACATAACAAAGGCAAGAGGCAGAGTGCCAACGTTGAAAAAATTTGAATCAGAAGGTATGACACCTGATCGGATAGTATGTGGTAGAACCCTGACCAGGATTGTATCAATTTAGGAGTATTAACTAAGTATTTCCGATTGAGATAGACTTGTAGATTAGCGTTCGTTTAGATCCATTACGTGATTGTGTTCGACTTTCAATTGTAAGCTCGAAACCCCGAACGAGAGGCGAGTTACCTATCTTGCGGGGGCGAGATTTTGCTAATCTAAGCTCTTCGGTTTAGAATCTATGTGCGATAAATGAGCTGCGATGCGCTAATTTCTACATATCTTGTCGTTAGTTAAATATGCCTACAAGACCATGTAATTTTCCACCTTGCTCCTAACAAAATGACTATTGCACCAAAGATGAGTCATATCCTGTACTCTTCACCCTTTCTTAGAATTTAGTCACCTGACTCATTGCTCCCCAAATTTGTTTTTAACCTTGAGTGTAACCAACATTGTGTATATGCATTCACTTTTGGACTGTATTAATCAAACTGCGAGGTTTTTCTCCGTCGTACTCTTTTTACCCTTGGCTTGGTATTAATTTTTTTCCGCGAAATCAGTACGTCGTACGAAAGTAAATCTAGGGACCAAATTTGCTTCAAAATAAATGGTGATTTCAAAGAGTCTTGGTTTTTAGAAAAATCAGTGGCGTACCATTTTTTTCTTTAAAAAATGGTCAGTTCAAACCCCGTACGGACGTCACTGGTGAAAATGTAACAAAATCTTTTGCGTCAAAAAATACTCCTTAATGATGAAAAGGTGTGTACAAAATTTCATAAAAATATCTAAGAGTGATAAAAATTGATTTATAAAACTATTTTTTCTTAAAATTTTAACACCCTGTAGCTCAAAAACTAAGAGGTTTAGGAACCCGAACCTATATTTCATATGGGTTCCAAAGACAGAATTGTATATTTACTTAATAAATACAACTCTGTGGTTCCAACCCCTTATGCTAACATGACAAAGGCAAGAGGCAACGTTGAAAAAATTTGAATCAGAAGGTGACACCTGTCGGATCGTCTGTGGTAGAACCCTGACCAGGACCCCCACGTTACACGGAACTGAAATAAAACGCTGCAATGGCTGAAAGTTCATTTATTAATAATTTATACTAAAAACCGCAAATTTGGGAGTTATTTTCGTTTTAGAATAGCGTCAAGAGAAAAGAGCACCACAAAATAATACTTATTAGTGGTTACATATCCACCTTAAGTGCATTCTAAATCTTTTAGATTGCCTTGTGTGACAACAGATGTTTGTCCATTCTGAACTTGTAAGTGGTTTCAAAATAGCACTGGCCACATTTTAAATGTTTGGAAGACTCGTGAGTTCTCAAAGTGCTTTCACAGTAGGTTGCATAATCACACTGTGTACATTTCACGTACTTGAAAATATTGTGAGTCACGAGATGATCTATAAGGTGGGCTTTCTGATTGGTTGAGTAATCACAGTGAGCACATTTTAAATCCTTAGCAGTCTTATGTGTTAACAAATGCCTTATTAAGTAGTATTTAATATTGGTTGCGTAATCGCAATGGGCACATTTTAAATCTTTAGCAGTCTTATGTGTTAACAAATGCCTTATTAAGTAGTATTTAATGTTGGTTGCGTAATCGCAATGGGCACATTTTAAATCCTTGCTCGCTTTGTGTGTTAGTAAATGTCTTTTAAAGTCGGATTTGTACGTGCTTGTGGTACCACATTGGACACAACGTAAACCTCTTGAAATGTTCGGTCGATTAGTGTGTGCGAAATCTTCAAAAGGTTTGTGCAACATAACACCATCAGATTCACTTTCCTGCTCTTCTTCTTTGCCACTATGTATCACATTACAAGAACTAGTCTCCTCAAATTCCACTTTTATTGTTTCAGAGACGTCATTATTAAGAAAAACCTCCTCCTCGAGGAATTCATTTAATTCTTCCTCTTGCTTAATTTCAACTTTTACAATCGCCGACATAACAATTTTTTTTTACAAACACGTTACTTCAAATTATCAAGTGACATGTGAACATAACAACGACATCTGTCTTGTTTGTAAAATTTTCAATGGGTCAGAAAGGGAAGGAAATAATAATTGGTTTCAGCTCCTTTGAGCCGTGTGCGAAATGGGCGCATTCAACTACTTTGCAATTGTAATTTGTTTATTTTTATTTACCAATAAAAGAAGTCGAGTTGTACATTAACCAACTAGAAATCTTGAACGCATCCCAAAGGTTTAATGTGGAAAACAGTAAAAAAGCAACATTTATATTAATTCAACAGGAACAATTAAATAATTCTAAATTACAAAAATGCGATACACAATGACAGATAAAAACTTACATCTATTATTTTACACACACACTTTGATATTCAGTAATTAAAAATAATTAATAATTTAGTAAATAAGTAAACAGTGTATTCTAACAGCGAAGCCTGTGATTGGAGTAGTGGCTGCGATTGATGGACTTCTTGGAAATTCTTCATGAAGCTAGACGGAGTGGCACAAATATGCACGGGCCCAAGGCTAAGATCATTACATATCTTGTCGTTAGTTAAATTTGTCTACAAGGCCATGTATTTTCCATCTTACTCCTTGATTGCACCAAAGATGAGTCACATCCTGTACTCTTCGCCCTTGCTCAGAATTTAGGTACCTGACCCAATGTTCCCAAAATTTGTTTTTAACCTTGAGTGTAACCAACGTGTATATGTACTTACTATCTTTGTTAACCACTACTTAAACTTGATAATTTTACAAATGATTTTGTTAACTAACTTTTGGACTGTATTAATCAAACTGCGAGGTTTTTCTCCGTCGTGCTCTTTTTACCCTTGGCTTGGTTTTTATTTTTTTCGACAAAATCAGTACGTCGTACGAAAGTAAGTCTAGGGACCAAATTTGCTCCAAAATAAATAGTGATTTCAAAAAGAGTTTTCGTTTTTAGCAAACTTAGTGGCGTACAATTGTTTGTAAGTTCAAACCCCGGACGGACGTCGCTGATGAAAATGTAAAAAAATCCTTTACGTCAAAAAATACTCCTTAATGATGAAAAGGTGTGTACAAAATTTCATAAAAATATCTAAGAGTGATAACAATTGATAAAAAACTCACTTTTTTCTTAAAATTTTAACACCCTGTAGCTCAAAAACTGAGAGGTTTAGGACGTAGTTTGATATCAACTTTTCTCCTTAGGTCCTCGATAGGCACTCAATTACTTAACACCCTGTATAGGTAGCAAGAGCAATGTATTTTAATTGTGTGTATGGTTTATTTTCTATAATATTTAAATAAAATCAATTGATACTAAAAAAAAATTTATTTATTTATATTGGAACCCTTAAAAACCGACAAAAAAAACTGGAACCGAAAATGACTGAAGTCACAGAACCGGAACCATTAAAAAATTATTCTACATAAGTAGTGCAGAACCAGAACCTATATTTCATATGGGTTCCAGAATTATATATTTACTTATATGTTGTATATTTACATATATACAACTCTGTGGTTCCAACCCCTAATGCTAACATGACAAAGGCAAGAGCCATTGTGGCAACGTTGAAAAAATTTGAATCCGAGGGTATGACACCTGATCGGATCGTCTCTGGTAGAACCCTGACCAGGACCCCCACGTTACACGGAGAACGAAGCTGAAATAAATCGCTGCAATGGCCAAAAGTTCATTTATTCTTAATTTATACTAAAAACCCGCAAATTTGGGAGTTTTAGAATAGCGTCAAGAGAAAAGAGCACCACAAAATGATACTTATTACTGGTTACATATCCACCTTAAGTGCATTCTAAATCTTTTAGGTTGTCTTGTGTGACAACAGATGTTTGTCCATTCTGAACTTGTAAGTGGTTTCAAAATAACACTGGCCACATTTTAAATGTCTGGAAGACTCGTGAGTTCTCAAAGTGCTTTCACAGTAGGTTGCATAATCACACTGTGTACATTTTATGTACTTAAAAATATTGTGTCTCACGAGATGATCTATAAGGCGCACTCTATGATTAGTCGCGTAATCACAGTGAGCACATTTAAAATCCTTATAAGCTCTATGTGATAAGTAATGCTTTTGTAAGTAGACATTACTATTAGTTAAGTAATCACACTGACTGCACTTTAAATCCTTCACTCTGTGTGTCAACAGATGTTTTTTCACACTGGCTTTATATATGGAAACAAAATCACAATGGACACATTTAAAATGACTGGCAGACTTGCGAGTTGTCAAAGAACAGTTAAAATCCGTATCATCTCTATGTGTTAACAAATGCCTTCGTAGGTAGACCTTATTATTAGTTAAGTAATCACACTGATTGCATTTTAAATCCTTCACCCTGTGTGTCAACAGATGTTTTTTCAAACTGGATCTATAAGTGAAATCAAAATCACAATGAACACATTTAAAATGCTTGGCAGACTTGCGAGTTGTCAAAGAACTTTTATGGTCCGTCCCAGAATCACTCTGTCTACATTTGAAATCCATAGAAATCTTGTGTGCCTGGCGATTACTGTTAAGGTGGACTTTATTAATGGTTGAGTAATCACACTGAGCACATTTTAACTTCTTGTGTATCCAGAGATGACTTCTGAAGTGGAATTTATTATTGGTTGCATATTCACACTGAGCACATTTGAAATCTTTCATAGTACTGTGTCTTAGCAGATGTGTTTTCAAACTGGATTTGTAAAATGATACAAAATCACACTGAACACATTTAAAATGGTTCGCAGACATAAGGTGAGTTGTCAAATTGTCTTTACGATTGGTTGCAAAATCACACTGTATACATTTTAAATCCTTGGCAGTCTTGTGTGTTAACAAATGCCTTATTAGAGAGATATGGGTCCTTCGCCCACATCTAGCGGTATTAACGGGTAGCGCTATTTTGACATTAAAGGTATGCGCGATTTGATTTTTATAGTAACTAACGTTATTACCGTTAGCGCTTGACGTTATTTACGGAGGGATAACGCTGTGCGCTATTTCAAATACCGCATCGTTAGGTTCTGCGCAGAGATAGATGTTTAGAATTTTTGAGGTTAAGAGAAACTAGTGTTTTAAAAAAAATATATATTTCATTCTTCATAAGCCATGAGCAGTCCTAGTGGTAGTGGTCGTAATAAGTAAATAATCAACAATATCGAAAATGAAATAGCTAACCAATAATAAACTCTGACAATTATAAAAGATAGGTTATGAATGTTATAAATAACGTCACGCCAGTATGTAGTTTCCATATCTCTTAAAACAGCCACATTTACCGCATGACGTTAACTTAATAGCGCATGGCGTTATTAGCGTATACAGGCGCTATTTAATTTTTCCATATCTCTCTATTAAGTAGTATTTAATATTGGTTGCGTAATCGCAATGGGCACATTTTAAATCCTTGCTCGCTTTGTGTGTTAGTAAATGTCTTTTAAAGTCGGATTTGTTCGGACTTGTGGTACCACATTGGACACAACCTAAACCTCTTGAAATTTTCGGTCGATTAGTGTATGGGAAATCCTCAGGTTTGTGCAAAACAACACCAACAGATTCATTTTCCTGCTCTACTTTCCTTTCTTCTTTGCCATTAAAAGAACTAGTTTTCTCAAATTCCACTTTTATTATTTCAGAGAAGTCATTGTTACGAAAAACCTCCTCCTCGAGGAATTCATTTAATTCTTCCTCTTGCTTAATTTCAACTTTTACAATTGTCGACATTACAGTTTTTTTTTCACAAACACGTTACTTAAGGCCGCTTGACATGGAGCAATACTACGCGCAAGAACTTGCAGAAAGAAATTGCAAGGTCAAATCCTTGCATGCAATAAGCATTGCATGGTATTTGACATGGTGCAATTCTATTTCAATTGCCACATGTCTGCCAACAGAAGAAAAATATGGACTTGTCAACAAAGTTGCTAACCTCCAATAAAAATTAAATTTTGATTGCTTGAAGAAACATGAAAATTACAAGAATAAATAAGATTAATAAAAACAAGTAATGAGTGCGTCTCTCAGCATCATAGTTGCCGCCGCTGTATTTTAGTAGGTTGGTGACACAAAAACAACTAGATTTATCCCTAGAATTGCACGATTCATGCAAGAAAAATAGCACCGGTCCTATAAAAATTGCATGCAAGTCTCTTGCAGCAATTGATCAGCTGGCTTTGAACTGCGCATGCTTTTCGCAATTTTTCTTGCAACTTGCATGCAATTGCAATTTTTATTGCTCCATGTCAAGCGGGCTTAACTAAGTGTCCGTGTAGCAAATTAAATTTGCTGGCAGCCCTGCGTGTAGTGCTCACCACTGTGCGGTGTTTTGGTTTTTCAGAAAATGGGTCTATCGACTTGGATGACCTCGAACATGTAATTTGAAACCGCAATACATGGGGTCATGGACCTTGTATACCCTAGAAAATATAATTTGACACAAAAAAAATTGCTTCATTGATTTTCAATGGCTTCGAGCATGTAATTAAACACCACATCACAAATGCTCTTCTATGACCTTGAAAACGTAATTTGATACCACACCAAATGGGTTCATTGTCCTTGGATGAGCTTGAGAATGTATTTAAATTACATAAAAATGAGACCATTGACTTTAACTCACTTTGATAATGTAATTAGACACTACATAGAAAACGAGGTCATTGACCTCGGATGACCTTGAAAATATAATTTGCAAAAATGGGTTCATTGACCGGGACCTTGTCTAATTGCTCTTGGATGACATTGAAAGTGTATTTTGGCGCCACAATTGAGGTTTCATACTACACCAAATAGGTTCATTGTCTTTGAATGACCTTGAGAATGTAAATAGACACCACATAAAAATGAGACCATTGACATATTGACTCGCTTTGATAACAAACATAGAAAACGAGGCCATTGCCCACGGATGACCTTAAAAATATAATTTGACTGGGAAAAAATGAGTTCATTCACCTTGGGATGACCGTAAGAGTATAATTAGACACCACATAAAGAGGTCTTTGACTTTTGATAAGGCCCCCAAACTCATGGACCCCTCCCCTCCCCGAAAAAGAAGACAAGGGATTTGCAGTTTTTTCAAATTGTATTTCAAGCAACTTGCTGAATAGTATTGAACATTCAATTAAAGGCGCCCCGCGACGGAGGCTCCGCTCCGCGGTTCCACGAGGGCCAGTCAGGCCCTGCTAACATGTAATTTGACACCACAAAATATGGGGTCATTGACCTTGTATCCTCTTTAAAATGCTATTTGCTACTGCAAAAAAATGAGTTCATTGATCTTGGATAACCTCGAGAATGTAATTAGCCACCACAAAAGATGGGTCATTACCCTTATATGGCCTTGAAAATATAATTCGAAACCACATAAAAATGCAGTCATTGACTTTGTATGCCATTGAAATTGTAATTTCACAACATACAAATTTACCTTGGAAATCACACCACACACAAATAAGGTCATTGATCTTGGATGACCTCGAACATGTATTTTGTCACAGCAAACATGGGGTCATTGACCTTGTATATCCTTGAAAATGTAATTATAATACCAATAAAATATTGACATTGCTCGGCCTTGAAGATTTAACTAGACACCGCAAAAATGTGGTCTTAGCTGACCTTGTGTGTAATTAAACACAAAAATATGGTCATTGCCTTTCTATGACAACACAAACATGGGTTCATTGTCCTTGGATGACCTTAAGATTGTATTAGACACCATATAAAAATGAGACTATTGACCTTGGATGGCCTTAAAAATCTGTTTGGATAACCTCGAGAATGTTACAAGAGATGTGATCTATGACCTTGAAAATGTAATCCGACATTAAAAAAATGGGCTAATTGTTCTTGGATGGCTTCGAAAATAATAAAT